GGGAACTAGATCTGATGTGCTGCAACTAAAGATTGAAGATCTGTGTGCTGTAACTAAGAGCTGGCACAGCCAAGTAAATAAATAAGTTAACTAAAAAAAAAAAATCCTCATAGCAGCCTCATGAGCTAGGTGCTGTAAACATTCCCATTTTACAGATGTACAATCTGAGGTAAGAGAGGTTCAGTAATTTGCCCAAGTGGTGAACTTGGGATTTGCTCCTCACCATCTGGCCCACATGTTCCAGTAACAGGCGCAAGGTTATTGGGTGTTGGGCTGACTCAGCTGACTTTCAGAGTTGGTCCCCTTTAAATCTATAAAGCTAAAAAGAACAGGCCATACAAATTGTTGGTGTTAGGGGTCTTTGGCTTATCTACTCAATTCAAAAAACAACTCAGTTTTCCATAAGGATGGGGATCCCTCGTGTTGATACTAGTGAAGATAGAAATCCTGGCCTTGCAGGTGGTTTGCATGAGGTCCCAGAGTGGCCAGGCCTCTCTAAGACTCGAATGACATTTGGGGAGTCAGGTGCCACCCTGGGCAGCTCTGGCCTTTATTTGGCTGGCTAGCTTCTGCTCCGCTGTACCTCATGACTTCTGTTAACACTCATACATAGTTTCAATGCCTAACAACTAAGGGACCTATGCTCTACTTGCTTCTCTCTGTGAATCATTTAGTTTTTGTAATGCCTATCAACTAATTTTATCTCCAGTACTTCCAGTTCATATGGTGAAGCCTAACTATAGATGAGTCCATTTCATCACTTTTATTCATTTGGGGAAGCACCCCCTGCTGACTCACAGGCTACCCCTTATTTGATTTAGTCCTTGGATTAAATGCCCACTCCTGGACCAATCAGCTGTGGCCAGGAGGCATGTCATATGGAAAGAACATTCTAGAACCAGGGTCTAAAGTTATCAGGGGATACAATCACAGATATGTTGTGAAGTCTGGCTTGTTCCTCTAATACTGTTTAGTTATAAGGCTTTTGGATTTAGGCTTTAAGCAAGTAAATGTGTTCTGGAAAATTATTAACTTTTTAAATTTATAAGTCACTTTATAGTTCTATATTAGTCCACTGTTTTAAATATGTCTGTCATATTTCTATCTTTACTGTTGCATCTAAATAAGATTATAATAAATAAGATGTTCTTTTATATTAATTTCCTTAACATGTTGAGAATTTAAGATTTACACCATAATCCTTTCCTTAAATACTAACAGATACTTTTTCTCTCATCCTTAGCATATCAATTACATTTCACCATCACAAGCTCTGCACTAAGAATGTATACAGATGTGTCACAAGAAAAATAAGCAGGACTCAAATTAGAGTACCACATGAACATTTCAGTGTTATCTAGAATGCTAACAAGAAAATCAAACTCAGCTTGTATAAATAATTATCAATAATAAGAATCTTGGCCAAATCAATGTTAATGTCATTTTTATACTTGGAAACACATGGAGCACACAACTATATAGACTAAAAAAATCAATAACTTGACTCACACTTAAAAGTAAGATAATACATTGAAAGAATAACTTCAAGTATTGTTCATTTTAGAAAATTTCTATGGAAAGATTCAATTTTATCTTGAAGACTTACAACCAATAGCACACATTACAACATGGGAAATGGGTTAGGAAAGCAGTTTGTGGCTATGAAACAGATCAAAACTAACTAGCCATTAGGGAATGGAACCCATGACCTTCATCTCATTAGTAACAGTCTTAAACCAACTGAGTGAGCTATAAACTGGTAACATTCTGATACCTAGAAGATGGATGGATTTTTCACTCCTTACTTAAAATTCATTTTTTGGTTCCGTATTATTTGTACGAAAATGTGACAATGCTGCTGTTATGTGGAATGATGGAAAGGGACGTGGCTTTCAGCGAGATCTCAGAAATCAATTATTACTCTTTATGTAACTAGTGAGAGAATTCAAACCCTGAAAGATGAGGTGACCTGCCTAACGGGTTCCCAGTGGGTGGTGGCAGGACTGTATTACAATAAAAATCTCTTGGACTTCACTCCTGGTCACTTTCAATTTGTGAGGGGCTGGCTGGTGGAGCAGGTTGTCCTTGAATTGTTCAAGGAAGGGGGAGTATGTCCTTTCAACGCAGAACAAACTTAGTGCTAGGAAAAGGGAGTGTAGGTTTCTAAATTGAATTCATGCCGAATGGAGGATACAGGATGGAATATAGTGAGAAAGGTTTTGAATGACCTTCATCTGGGAGGGGATGAGAAGCCTCAGAAAGTCTCCAGAGAGTGAGTACAGTGATGGAAAACATTTTCCATGTAAAACGGCTTTAGCTTCAGTCCATGGGGTTGCAAAGAGTCAGACACAACGGAGCGCACACATACACACCAGGATATTTAGGAATAGCGTAACCTGAGTCATGGGCTGGGGGCGCAAGTTTGGGTATAAATGAATAAACATACAGAAAAGTAAAGTAGTGGCTAATAATTTCACTTGGGAGGTGAGGGAAGTTACAGATCTGGTCTGAGGATGGGTTAGGTATGTAGGTGTGATAGGGTAGAGTGGGTGGAATGGGAACCGGGGGGAGTGGTGGAGACTGATGCCATGATGGGATGCTGGAAAGAAGGGATTCATCATGGATTATTAACCAGTGACTGAACAGTGGAAGGGTGAAGGAGCAACAAAAAGCTTCTACTAGTATATTATCATTTAGGGAACAGATGGAGAAAGGTTCTGTAAATACTACTGATTTATATAAAGGTCCAGTGTTATTTAGATTCTGATATCATAAACTGCCTCTGTTTCAGGGGGTCACACCAGTGGATTCTTTGTAGCAGTATCTTTAGATGTGAGTACCTTCAAAATATTTCCCATCTGGAACCACATCTTGGGAACAACTTACATTAAGCCTTTGAGCTTTTACTGATGACCTCTGAAGGAGATTGACCATGTATTGGAGAGAGCCTCAACTCATCCTTATTTTTGTCACTGTACCTCAGTATGTGCACAGGTCCCAGGCAAGCCTTTCTCTCCTGACCCTTGGACCTTTACTCAGGCTTCCTCTGATTGGATCATCTTCCCACATACCCTTGGACACTTGTCCTTCAATAATCAGTTGTCACCTTTTCTAGAAAGTCTTTCCTTATTGCCACAGCAGCTCCTCAATTATAACTGCTCTGCATACCCCTAGTACAACATCTTTCACACTGTGAAGCATTGCCCAGTGCACTAGACTGTCTTTACAGACTGAATTCCTTGGGGTCTAGTTTTAATCATTTTTTTTATCCCCAACATCTTGTAGTGTGATTTGCACAAGGTAGATCTTTAATATAAGTTTAAAGACTACAGAAATATCTGAAAAAGATTGTGAAATAGACGTGTAGTCTAAAAATTATCTAGAGAGAACAAGTCTAGAATGGATTTTTAGAAAGAGGAATCTAAAATTAATGTTATTAGTTTCCTTGGGCATAAGGCCTTAGTTTTGCACATAGCTCCTGGCCTTGCTTCCCTTCTCCTCTTGTAGTCTGCCTTTGGCCATTTCACTGCTTATTATTCAAGGGCTAGGGAGAAAAGGAGAGAAGCTGAAATTCAGATCAGTTAATTAGGCTGTTTGGGAACAGCTCAGAAAAAGGCTGGATGTTGTGGGTGAAATCAATATTATCTATAGCCTTCTCTAACCCAGCCTTCCTCATTTCACACCCCTAAACCAATGGTTGCCTGACACAGGAAGCATATTTTATAAACTCTTTTCGGCTTCACAGGGTTTGTTCCCTTGAGTACACGTCTAGCTGTATGTCCTGGGTTTTGGTTTGGAGAATTCGGTCACTACACCAGCAGAAGACACTGTGGGTGATAGTCTGCCTCTCTAGGGTAATTTCATGGTCCTAAGGAAAGAATTTAGCCGTTTATTTTTCTGAAACTGGTTCAAGGAACATTCCCGAAGTGAAAAAATTCAATCGAGAATATTATTACTTACTTTTTGGAGAAAGACTTTTAATACAGAATTTCCATCTGTGATATATTTAAGTTCTAGGCCTCAGGCAGCAATTTCGGAAAAGGGTCTCCTTGACCATTTATTAGATGCAAACTAGTTCACTCTGAGGGGTAGGGGGCCTTACTTTATCTCCCCACTCCAGCAAAATGTGAAGACTTGCTTCCACTATTCCTGAAATTACCAGCGCTCCCCGTTTTTTTTTTTTTTTTTCCCCTTGCACGGTGAACTCCGTTATTGACCTAAAAGTGTTGATCACAACTTCAGTTTCTTGAATTCTTTTCTAAGTACTTGTATCGAGTAGAGAAGGAGAATAGTAAGCTGCCCAAAAGGAGGCCTACAGTCCATCAGTGGAAAGCTGTCAATACGGAAATGCAATACTCTCGCTTGATCTGGTTTTGATGCCCTAACAAAGACAGGTTTCGCAGTTGAGGACCGCTCAGCCATCTTGACTGAGTACATTCAGAAGGTAGTCCTAGACCTGCTTACTGCCAGCGGACTTTAACACTGATTTCTAAGTTGACATATGTATCCCAACAGATTTCACAACAGAGGCCTAACACATTTAAGCTGTCAATAAAGACCGACACTTAAGAAACGCAAGGCACGCGGACACTTTACATACAGACTTTATAATGCATTCTTCCAGTCCTCTAAGAGAGAGAGGTTGAGTGTGGGGGTGGGGTGGGGGGGGTGGGGGGAGCTTAAAACTTTCTCATTTTTCCTGACCTGTAGCATGCGTTTAGCCTTCAGGTTGTGTTTTTGTAAGACCAAGGCCCACTCTTTAATGGCTGAAAGCATACGTTTAACAGTACATGGTGGATCAGCTGCCCTGAGAAATGCCTTTTTTAAGAAAGTAAAGTGGAAAATAGACAAAGAAATCTATCACCTTAGCAGTCTTTCATATTTGTTTTGATTGTTCTGGAGGCAGCTCTGAGCTGGTGACAAGGGTATTGAAAAGATGCACCTGAAACAGGATCTGCGGGCTGCTGCATTTGCCAACCGGCTTTAATGCTGCTTTCCAGCGGCGAAGGCGCAGCAGCATGAACAGGGAAGCCGGCGCGAGCCTCCCCGGCAGCGGCGGCGGCGCGGCGGCACCGGCACCAGCGCAGTTTCCCCTCTCCCCAGCCCTGACTCCACGCGCACATGCGCACTGCGCCCGCAGCCCTGGACCATTTGTCAGGACTACTCGTGAGACGGAGAAAAAAAAAAAGAAAATTTGGGGGTAAGAAGCGGTTGATCGGATCTAATCTCTAATTAATCTGAAGATTTGTCCGTGCCAAAGCCCATTCATTTATTTTCCTAGGTGAGGATGAAAGTTAAGAGACCTCTACAGAGAAGGAAGCGCACCCTCGTCTTGTGAAACAGATCAGGGGAGGGGAAAGGACAGAAGGGGTTTCTCCCCCACTTCTCTGCGCCTCTGGGAAAGAGAAGAAAACTTAATCCTGGGGGAAAAAAGTGGGCGAGTGACTCGGAAACGGCTGGAGGGGGAGTCTCTGGGCATCTCACTCTGAAGTAGTGAGCGCGAGTGCGAAAGAGGAACAAAAGAGAGAGAAAAGAGAAAGGAAAAAATGGGGGGAGGAGAGACTTGTATTTTTTTCTTTGCGCGCACACGGGGAAGGGTGTGGGGGGCCGTGCGGAAGGCAGCCGGGGCGAGGCGGCCGCGTCGGGCTCTCGCCGGCGCGCAGGCGGCGGGATGCGTGTGGGCCCCCTCCCCCGCGCCCCCCGAGCTTGTCACTTTGGTCGCTTTCATGACACCGGGCGCGGGGTGGGGAGCGCGGCGGCGCCGGGCTCCGCCGGGGTGCGTGCCCGAGTGGGCGCCGCGGAGCCGCAGCCCGGGCGGCGAGCGCGGCGGCCGAGGCGGGGGGCGCCGGCGGCGGGGGCCGGGGGCGGGGGGGGCGCGCGCGGGGGTGGCCGGGGCCGCGTTTCGGTGCGGCGGGAGGCGCGAGCCCCGCGCGCCGCCCCTGCGGCCCCCTCCGCCCGTGTGGCCTTTGTGCCGGGCGCGCACCGGAGAGCGAGCGAGCGAGCGCGAGAAGTGCCAGTACGGGAGACCGAGGCAGTGGGAAAAGAGGCCGGGCCACTTTCTCCCCGCTCGGGCTGCGGAGAATGGGCTGCTTGAATGTGCAGGCGCGTCTCTCCGGCGTGTGCTGTGTGTGTGCGCGGCGGAGAGGCCTCCCCGACTCCCACCGCGCACACGCACACTCACACGCACGCACACACTCACGGACCCGCGGCGGGCTCGGCGGCCGAGAGTTTGCGTTTTCTTCCTCGCCGCCTCCCACTTCCCGACCGACTGTGTGAGAATTTCATATAGATCAGCTCCAATTTCCGCCATTTTGGGAAAGTTGCACAAAAATAAACCCTCCGGTTTATTTCTGCCCGAGGCAGGAAAGTGCTTCGGGAAGCGAGGCGGCGCGGGCCCGCGGCGGCCGTCCGCGCGGGGGAGGGCGCAGGGCGCGGGCCGGGCCGGGAGCCCGCGCCGTCGCGGCGTTCGCCCCGCGCCGTGCCGCGCCGCGCCGGGCCGGGTGCGGGCGCGGGCGTGTGTCGGGAGGCGGCGGCGGCGGCGGCGGCCGCGGGTGGGGGGGGGTTGGGGGGGGGGGCGGCGCGGGGCTGCTTTTCCTGCAACTTGTTTACGCCGTCCTTATATTGGGGAGGCAGAGAGGGGTCCGAGGCGGGGCCGCCGCCCGCCTCGCGCGGCATGCGTGTGCTATTCCGGAATAATGGGTTTTGCACACTAGCGTCCTGGGCCCGGCCGGCCGTCCTCGCGCCGCGGCGGCCCGGCGGGGGGAAGTAGAGGCCGGCGGGGGTGGAGATCGGGGAAGCGCAGGAGCCGAGGCATCCGCCGCGCGCCCCGCGAGCTGGTGGCGGGGGCGGGGGGGGGGGGAGAGGGAGGAAAACTTGGGAGCCCTGGAGGCGGGGGAGGGGGGCACGGTGGCACGGGCCGAGGGAGGGCGCAACTTTCGTGCTGGTGGTAAAACTTTAATTACCTTGAAAGAAAAAGGCCCTCCGGTCTCCCCCACCCTCTCTGGGCGAAGCCCGGCCCCAGCGCGACCGTGAGAGAAAGTTTAAAAGCGGGCACTTTGCTCCCCGCCTTCCCCGCGGAGGGGTAGGGGTATCTGTTTGTCCGTCTGCGCTCGGAGAGACGTGGGGGTAACAAGCCGCCCTCCGGGGTCGCGAAGATCGCGGCTCTCACCCCACCCTTCCACGGGGAGACGAAGGTAAACGTCGCTTCAGTTTCCCTCCTGCCTCCTCCCCCCCCCACCCGCTTCCTTTTCCTCCCCCTCCCCGCCGATTTTTTGAGGGGACCCAAAAAACGGAGTCTCTTTCCTTATGCAACTTCCTCGGGCGCTGCGAGCACGGCCCTTCCCCCCTCCCTGCATCCCTCGGCCGGCTCCTCGACCACCTCGGGTCTACCGCCAGAAAAAAAATGCGTTAGAGATCATTCACAGTGCACCGAAGCAAAAATAGATTTTTGATTGTTCTAAGTTTAAGTTAAGGGAAACTGAGCTGAGAAATAAGAAGGGGGGGGGGGGGTGGGGGGGGGGAGAGGCTGGAGCGAGTGCGTCGAATTTTAATTTTCCTAGAATGTTGTTTGTGATAGCTTTATTGCTGTGGGGAGCCCGAGAGTCTCCGTAGTGGCTAGCTCGGTCGCGTGGATTTTTGCGCAAGTTTTTAGAAAAACACTGACTCGAGTAGAGCATTTCTCCGGAAAGTTTCAAGTGCAGCAAAATAGCGAACGTGCAAAACTGGCCAAGGGGAGACCTCTAGTGGTTAGACGCGTCTTTAAGTTCGGAAGGCCGAGAGCAAACTTTGGCCTTTACTTTTTAGCTACGTAGTCCGTTCAGACGTGGAAGTGATTAGACGACCTGAGCCAGGGGCCAGATGTTGTAGAGAGGATGCTGATCAGAAATAGAAAGTTTAGTAAATCGGAGAGCAAATGAAATCTAAGGACCCAGCCTTCCAATTGGGGTACTTCTATGGGAAAGTAGAACCTTCCAATCTTCAAGACTTCTATGGGAAAAACACTTTGCTTTTATTCTGGGATTTGAGATCGGTCACTGTCTGGATTAGAGGCAGTTGTTTTTTTTTTTTTTTTTTTAATATTTGTCATTGTCTATACATTTGATCAACCTTTAATCAGTATTAACAGTGGATAATACATTTGAATGTTAATAAAAATACGAAGTGCAATACATGTTTAAAACTTTGAAAAAATGAAAAACACTTGTATTTGAAAAGGCTCATATAAAATTATTTTATATGAGCTAATTATTTTACTCTCTAGTAAATATAATTTAAGGCCTTATTTCATTTCTTAAACACATAGTCATATATAGTTTTAAAATAAATGACCCCATTTAAGAGTGTAATTTTGTTTCACTGGTTAAGACATTTCTGAATACTTTGTATAATTTTGGATTTAAACACTTAAATATATGGACAAAACTTGCTTACATAGTATCTATTCTTCTGCCGGTGTGTGTTTTGTATGGTAAATTTAAATGAGAAGCAGTGAGAGAAATTAAAATTGTATCAAATGATCCTGGTAACTTTCATTTGCTTGTCATACAATGGAAGAGACTTTAAGAGGGGAATTTAGGGTAGGGCAATGATATAAATATAAAATCAATTTCACCTCATCCAAAGCTAGTTTATTTTTTGTGTGTGTGGTATGTGTTGTAGCATATTAAGTGGTAGTGTACAAAATTATGCAATGTCAGTAAATCAGAATTTGAACTTGTTATTTATGAGTTTCAGGGCTTCTTTTTTTTTAATGACAATACTTTGATTTTATTTCTCTTCTCTTTAAATTGATGCTAGACCTCCAGGAGAAGTCTTGAGGGTGAACCACAGTCTTAAAGACCATCAGATAATTATTTCTTCACTGCTACTAGGTAAGAGTTGTGTGTTGAAACAAATTGCTTGATACACTTGCAGATATTAAAAGCTGCATTTGGGGGTAAAGAAGGACAGTGTGAACAGGATTGGCAGAAAAACACCATTTTGAAAAGGATGCTTTGAATTCATGAAAGTCTTGACGCTGAATGTGACTGAAGCTCCAGTTAAAGCATTATGAAAAATTAAGAGATTGTTCTGGATAATCTTTGGACTGGCTTTTTACTGGATTCTTAATTCACACTTCAATTGTACCTGTTCTTTACTGAAAGTAAATAGTTTTATTCTTTGGAATTGAGAAAGTGGGAAATCTAGAACAAAGCAATTGTGAATTAATATAGCTGTTGTATAAGTACACTGTGATGTGGAAAGTTCTGGAACTTGGTAAAATTTTGTAGGTGATATTTCCAATAAGATGTTTGGGCATGTTTAAGTAACTTACCTTCTATGGCTCAAATCCTACGGTGGGCTGACATGTGCCAAATATCATGTCATAGTGTTATAGTGAATTTCCAGTGTGTTAGCATGAACTTGTCAACTTTTAAGCGTATCACCACAAACAATACAGCTGCTGCCCAATAAAGACCTCTTTGGTAATTTCTGGAGGGTGCTGGTTAGTCTCCAATAATCCAGGGCCTACTCTCAGAACGAAGGTCATTCTCAGGCAAAAGGGAACCCTGTCTGGGCAGAACATGAAAGTACATCTGTGCGACTATAGTGCTTTTCTGCTATTGATGATGATGCTGTTTAGTCGATAAGTCATGTCTGACTCTCTTGTGACCCCAAGGACTGTAGCCCACCAGGCTCCTCTGTCCCTGGGATTTCCCAGGCAAGAATATTGGAGTGGGTTGCCATTTCCTTCTCCAGGGGATATTCCCAAGCCAGGGATGGAACCCGAGTCACCTGCATTGGCAGGCAAATCCTTTACCACTGAGCCGCTAGGGAAGGAAGCCTCTTCTACTTTTTAGAACTTTTTTTTTTTTTTTAATCGTTTCCTTTCTTTTTCTGCTTCATTTCATTTTCCTTCTCTGTCTCAGGTATTAAAGGAGTTGCTAATTCTTGTTTGGCAAAACAGAACAAAAATTAGCAGGACTAATAATCCTTTTTAAAAAAAATTTTGAATTTTATATGGGCGTGTAGTCAATTAACAATGTGAATAGTTTCAGTTTCACAGTAAGCGACTCAGCCATACATATACATGTATCCATCCTCTCCCAGTGTCCCCTCCCATCTAGGCTGCCACATAATATCGAGCAGAGTTCCCTGTAGTAGGTCCCTGTTGGTTATCCATTTTAAATA